ATCACCATTCCCTATTTAAAGTGCCAGAATGGTTCCATGGCAGAGCTGTGTGATGGAAAGGCCCTGTCCTGTGTGTGCACACAGAGCCAAACCCAGGGAGAACATCCTGGGATCACCAGCAAAGAGTGGAATTACCAAATAACCCAGCAGCAGTTCTTGTGTCATCAACACACAATTCTCATATTTTTATATTTCCCCTTTACATTCATATCCTTGATAGTAAGACAAAAGCTGTCCTGCCAACAGCCCCACAGACTGAACTCCCTTCAGGATTTGTTCCTTTCTAGCCCTGCTAATGCCCTCTCCTGATGTTCCCCCGTTGTGAATGAAGAGGGAGCTGGGCATATGCAGTGAACTGTGTGCTTTCACTGTCCAGGATCGACCTGCATTCTCACAAGTTCTTAAATCTGGGGGTTTTTGCCTTCACTACAAAGAGCCCAGCCTTAGGCATTCTCCAGTAATGCAGGGAGGAACAATATCTGCCAGTCTGCCTGGCCTCAGGACAGCCAGGGAGAAAAGGTGGAAGCAGGTCACAGACAAACAAGCATCCATTAAACCCAAACTGTTGTTTTGACCAGAAAAACAACCGTAGTTTTGGAACTACATGGGAAAAAGTAATGTTTAGAAGGCACCGAGGGAACTTCAGTATCCCTGCTAACCCTGTTTGGGAGTCAGAGTTTGTGTTCAGATGGAGCAGCTGGGAATTGCTTCCAGGCCTCCAGGTTTAGATGCATCCAGGGTTCAACACTAACTTTTTTAAACCCTCAAATCATGGTCCTTGATCACACCTGACCTCCTGGAGGCAAAATAACTTCATTTCCAGGAGCTGCTCAAGGGGGTTACATAATGGCTTCGGGACAGTGACAGGCTTTGTTCCAATTTTTCCTAAATATTGAGCAAATTCACAAACCAGAATTAACCCTAAAACTTTTCCTCAGCCGTTCAGCCTGTGCCCTGGAGCAGCAGAAGGATTCACGGATATTCCACTGATTTGTTTCCCTCTCCTCTTCTTCACAGGTCTCCACGAAATCCAGTGCTCCCTGCCCGTGGAGAACAGGAGGATCTTCCTGAATGAGTTATCTGAGGTCAGCTTCAGTGAATGCAAGTTCAGTTTGTCACTGACAGACCTTTTCATCATCATCTTCTCCGGGGTCGCCGTCTCCATCGCTGCCATCCTGTCCAGCTTCTTCCTGGCCACCCTGGTGCACTGCTTCCAGAGGTGTGCTCCCAGCAAGGATGATGATGATGATGAAGACGACAGTGAGGACTGATCTTAGTCTATATCCTTCAATTTGCTTGGTCTATAAGTTGTTAGATCATCAGCCAAAGTCTAGGAAGAAAAGGAGCAGAGTAAAAGCTTTACATGAGCTCACAGGGTGTGAGGATCCCTCTAATCAGTGATGGGCACAGGCAGCAGTGGCAGAGTTGGGACTCTCAGCTTTGCTTGCACTGATGCAATCAGCCCGGGTTCATTTTGATCCTTAATCAAACACTGCATTTAAATTTGAGGATTGGAAGAAAAAGGGAGGAAAAGCAAAAAAAAAACCCAACAACTTCCGGTGTTGAAGATTGGAAATAAAAAGGGGAGGGAAAGGCAAAAAAAGTGTTCCAGTGTTTTAAAAGACAAGTTCCCAGTTTCCAGATTGTCCTGATGAGATGCAGATTCTTATAAGTACTTAAATCTTGTTCTAAATGCACTTTGGAAAGGACTGGAAGGGTGGAAGCGTTTCAGCTGGAAAATATGGAAGTAATTTCAAACAGCCCCTTCCTAGATCTGATAGTGGGAGATTCTATTAAACTCACACAGCTTTCCAAGTGACAAAATGCAATTAGATTCCTAGAATTGCAGAAAGCATGAGAGGAAGGTTGGCATTTTCTCCCTACAAAGGTTCTCCCCAGACATCCATCCCCCATTTAATGACAGCAGTTGCAGGCACCATTCAGCCAAAAAAAATTTTTTCTATAAGTGAATATGATTCTGGGTCTGAGTCATCCACTGCAGATGCCTGGCACTTCTTTGGTCATGGCACAAATACTAAATATAACATCCTTTTGCATTTTTAGATGCAATGAAGTAAAGGATTTCCCTCCCTGTAGTGCTCAGCACCAGTAAGTGTTGCAGTATCCAGTCCATTTAGTTATTTTAAAACACTAAGGGCTATATTCTGCTCCTGATTATACCAGAATAACCCAACTGAAATGAACACCAGGATCCAAATTGGCAACTGTATAAACAAGAGTGAAATCTGGCCCAAGATATTTCTGACTGTACTATAGATTTGTCAAAACTTGAGCTCTTCTATATGATGGTAGATATTTTTGTTAAAATTAAAAAAGACATTTATTACAAGAGATTTTTGGAATAGTGCTGGACAGCTTTTTAGGATAAGTATATTTTTAAAATATTTGTAACGGAAATATTTTTTTAAAGCTCTGTGTATTTAAATTATTCTCTAGAGTAGCTGTGAGGGCTTGAAGTAATGACCAACATAGTAATAAGCAGCTAAGGACTGTATGCTATTATGAAATAATTAGAGCTGATAAAAAGTAGCATTTGTTTAACTACTGTAAATGCTATTATTTCTTAAAAGGAAACAGTCTTTGATTAAAACCCTGCCTTGCTCAGTAGGAGGGAATCCCCCTGTGTGGTCAGGGCTGACGAGGGACACCAGGACTCAGCACTCCTGGGTGTTGTCCCATCCCACAGGGATCAGCTGGAGGACCCTCAGCAAATCACTCTCTGCCCGTGCCTCAGTGTCACCCCCTGGAACCCCAAGATCACCATTTCTCTCTTTCAAGTGCTTGTGCCAGGGGGGCCCTGCCTTGGGGCTGCTCAGAGCAGTGACCTGTGGGGGGCTCTGATCCCATGGCAGTCTGACTTCACTGGCACCTCTGGAGCTGCTCCTTCGGCTGACAGAGTTTGCCCCGGGGTTGGCACCACGCTGAGGTCACACCAGGCTGAGAGGGTTTCTCTCTCTTAGCTCTCCAGCTTATTCAATGCACTTACTGCTTCCAGGGTTAGGATTGTTATTCCTGAGAACACACAGACACAGAATGAAGTAGGACAGTGAGAGGATATTCTGGATCAATACTGTCTTGTTCTATTCTGATTCCTTCAAGAAAAAAAACCGAAATGACATGATTTTCACTGTGTAGTGCCATGATTATAAAGAACACAAATATATTTATAATTTCAACGTGGGCTTTCATGTTTATTTGTGTGTGGGTATGAAAAAGGGAGACAAGCCGTGCCTGATTCATCTTTTATAAGTGGGGTTGTGTGGTTGGAAAGACACAACATGTTGCCCAGTGCAGCTCCTGGAGCAAACTCCCTTTGCCTCCAACACGGATATGTTATCAACAGTTTTATATTTAGAGCTGTGCAAATTGTTCAGTCATGGAATAAGAAACTGGGTCACACTTATTAGGGACTCAAAACTTGCGGGAGGTTCACAAAATGGTTTGTCCTACCAAGCTTCCCAGTGAGACATCAGTGAATGTTTCAGCAAACACCTGCCCTGCCTGTGGTTTATGGGTTTGTGTCCTTATCCTGTAAGGCTGAGGAACTTTGCAGAGGTCACATATCAAACTCAACCACTTTTACTGGATTCTGCTCTTACTTGCAGGTCCATCCCACTGTGGGGCCTCGAAATGAAGATGTAGATGCTTTTATAGTTTGTAGCTTTTTGCTCAACCCAACCCAAAGCCCTGAAAGCCCTGATTATATTTGGAACTTAGCACCCCTCAGAACAGCAAGGAGCAGACCAAGCTGACACCCACATATCACAGCACAAGCTGAAGAGCAAGGCTTAGGAAAGCTTTATTTGGGAAGCTGCTATTCTGGATACTCCATCACACCAAAATGATTTTGCAATGTAGGGTTTTTTCTGGATAAGAAACTTCAGCGATATTTTCCTCTATAATAATTATATTTCAGAAGTATTGAACTCCTAGAGTTAGTAGTATTGATTCTTTGTAAGCACCAGCAGTTACCTACTATTAGTATTGATTTAATTCTAATTGCTTGTAAATGAGACAGAACTTTGATTTAGTTCTTAATGGGATTTTTCTAACTTGATGGAAACTTCAGAGCAAAACATTCTCCTGTTGAAATATTACTAGAACCAGTCATCACCATAAAGCTCCCCTGCAAAAGTTTGAAAGCAAACTTCACCATGACTAGAAGGTGGCCTGAAGGCTGCATTATTCCTCTAGTTTTACCTCCACAAAGGCAGTGACACGGAGGTAATTCCATCTCCCACTGGACATGGGAAGTGTTCCTGTGTGAGGATGCTGCCCTGGGTGGGATGTGGTGAGGCTGCACTCCCTGCTCAGGCTGTGATGACCCACATGTAGCAGTTTGAGCCACATTAGAAATCTAAAATCCAATTTCCAGGTTTCCCCCACCCCTTCCCACAATTATCCTAGCACCAGAGAGAAACTTTCAGACTAGAGGCTTCTGTAGGGGAAGGGGGAAGTAAATACATTTATTTACACAAATAAATACTATACAAACTAAAGACAACTATATATATATTACATTTCTATCAGTCAGTCCTTTCAAGCCCCTCCTTTTAACTACTTTAGTCCAGAAGCAGCTTTTCAAGGCTGATACGTAACACAGTCTTTTCCTGTGGGAGTGTTCTGGGCTCCTGAACGCTCCCCCCTCACCAAGTTCAGTTGTTTGTTGCAGTTTCTCTCCTCATGAAGTCCAAGAAGATAATTTTGAGTCCTTGCTCTTCTGCTGCTGGTGATTTCTCCCTCTCACACCTCGGTTCGTAGGCTGCTGCAGTGTAGTTCAGCTTATCAAGCGTCCACGTCCTGGAATGTTGATTTCTCCTCGGGTTTTCGGTTGTCCTGCGTTTTAGTTCACGGCAGGGACATCCTCTGGGCCCCTCTCTCTCTCTCTCAGGGGGTCCGTCTCCAATTTTTGCTTAGGATCTTCTCCCCAGCAATCGAACCTCCTCCTGCCCGTCCACCTGGCTCTGCTGCAATGCTGAGCCTCACATCCACTCTCACTGAACAGCGAGAGGGAAAACCAGCCCTGCTCTGCAGCCTGGCTGCAAAGGTGAGGGGGAAAGAAGATGAAGGCCTGGCCGCAGGGCCTGCCTCTCTCTCTCCCACTTACCAGTTGTTTGTGAGTCGCATCCCTCACAAACAAGCACTCATTCCAGTGCTGGCTCCAACTCGGGCCTAGGCAGAGTTGGGGGGGCCGCAGGGAGGGGAAGAGAGGGAGCCCAGCCACCCCCTGGCCTTCAACACCCACATGCAGCAGACACCAACAGCCAAAACAACAAGACAGAACTGCCAACAGCTTCCGGGGCTGTGATATCCGATTTTGAGCAGAAGTGAACAACATGGATGGTGATTTGCCCTCCAGGGAACACTGCCCTGGCACCCAGTCACCCCTGAGCCCCCTCAGCCTCTCAGGGGGGCCAATTTCAAACCATGACACCACATTAGGATCAGTGAAGTCCCAGTGGTGCCCAGTGAGGGCCGAATTCACCTTCCCCTCCCTCAGGCCTGCAGGTGATCAGAAACGTGCTGGGGGAAGTTCTCAATTCACAATTTCCCTTGTAAACCAGCTTTGCTTTAGTGGCGCAATCCCCCCCCCCTCAGAGCTGAGCAGACATTTTACCTGCTTCAAGGGGAAGCAAAGATCCTCTGTGTGACCCAAATAAAGCGTGGCAGGCTCCAGGAGCCAGGCAGCAGCTGTCACACTGCCTGCAGACATGTCTCCTTGATGAAATGCTGGAGCTTGGGATGTGTGAGGATCCAAAAACTGTGCAAAAAAAAAAAAAAAGGTGAATCTGCATGATGTCATTGAGACAGCCTGACTTTTAGAAGTGTGCATATTGGTTTAAAAAAAAAAACCCTAATGCACAGGATATTAAAGTAAAGAACACCTGAAGCCAATGCCCAGCCCATTGTTCTGAGGCAGCTCCAGTCCTGCTGTGGTTCCTCCTCAGAGAAGAACATTAATGGGGCAGTTTTTAGAGCAGCACAAAAATGCATTGAGATACCTCAAAGGGATGGTTCTGGAAGGTCTGACAGAGAAGCAAACTGCTTGCCTACCTCAGATCTAGAGCAGAGAGTGACCCACTGCATGCTGACAGCTGAAATTTAGCCTGGCAGACCTAGAAGTGACAAAAAACACCGGGATGCTTCACTGTGGAGGTAAGTCCTTGTGATTTCCCTGTGGGGAAGGTGATGTTGAAATGCTGAATCCTTGTGTACCCTTTCCAGGAAGGAACCAGAAATATACATTGGGAAATTAAGTTTCTTGGAGAGTAAGATCTGCCAGGGGCTCTGGGTGCCAGGGAGCCTGTAACACACAGGAGCCACCAGAAAAAGGATTATTTCATGTCCTGTCACCACAATGCAGCCTTGTCATAGCATTGTAGAAAATAGCCAGGGAAGAACCACAAATAGATTTTGTCACAAAAATACTTGGTTTTCTAATCAGATCCCTATTCTCATCTTGCCATCACCTTCCCCTTTGTGTCCTGGTTGCTGTGTCTTTATATCTTGACTGTAACCAGAACAACAGAATGCCAGTTTGGTGTTTTCTCTGGATGGTGCAGCAACACAAATCCCCACAGCAATACCAAAGCAGTAAAACCATGGCTCTGTTTATGCTGACCAACCATCCAGCTACTATTGTGAAGAGTTAGTAGGAAAAAACCCCATAAACTATCGAATTTTAAGCTGAGAGAGCAACAGGAGCCCCTCCGTTGCAAAGCAGCTTTGCTGTGTCTCTCCAGTTCCCAGCAGCTCTCACCCCCCACCCCGAGCTCCCTGTGAAATTGTGTAACAGTGGGTTAGCAGCACATAATGTGCTTTTTTTTGGGCTTGTCAGAAACCATCCCAGTAAACACTTCAGAGCAGGCTTCTCCTGCGAGTTCTGTGGGATGTGAAAGGTTTGCAGGGAGGTGAGCAGCAGGGAAGGAGCGAGCCAGCTCGGGGCACAGTTGTTCAGTAGAGCCAGGTTTGCTTCCAAAGGAGCATTGGTTGATCTCAGAGCTGCTTTCTCCCCAGTTTCTGGGAGCAGGGGTGAGGTGTGAAGGTCAGCCAGTGCACACCCAGGTGTGTGGCACAACCTGTTTCAAGCAGAGATTGATGTGAAATGAATTCCTAAAGTTTACTGCTCCCAACCAAAGCATCGTTTGCCTGTTCAAAAGCTTTAATTTGAATGTGAACTGTGAGGTGTCACTTAGAAGGCTGCACAAAAATCTCTTATCAGCTCAGAAATGAGAAAGTCAAAGCAGTCCATGCAGACAGTGGTGGCAAGACACACTTCAGTCATTTCAGTGTGGGAGGTCATTGTTCCAAGCTGACATCAGTGAAATAATAGATTTTGACTATTCCTTTTTCTTCTCCTGGTCACTCTTCTCACCAATAGATATCACTCTTTATCCTTTTATGATCTGGATTCAAATGGGAATTGGAGGCATGGAAGGAAATGACCAGAATAAAACCCTCAAGGTCATTTTGGTCAGTTTGGCAAATGCCCAGAGGTGCCCCTTTTTATCTGTATGAGCTGTGTACTTGAGGATGGGAAAAAACACTTCTCTGAGCTCCAAAAGATTCCATATAAACATGGAAATGGATGGTTTTAAAAATACAAGGGCAACCAGAGGGATGAGAGACACGGATTGTAAATATCATTGAAAAGGAAACTGAGGCATAATTGGATTGACAAGTGTTTTCCTAGGAGAACATTATTTTTGGGTTGCTTTGTTGAGTACTTGCCTTAACTTTAACACAGTGATGATAAAAGCCTGGCAGGGAAGTGTGGAATATTGGCTATAAATTAACACTATTTGTGGGTTTAGAGCTGCAGTGTCGTAACCAACAACCTGCAACATCTGTCTTGCTTTGTTCAAAATAATTCAGTTGCCTTATGTTTGTGTTATTTAAAAATCAAAATAAAACCACATCAAAATAAACAAAAACTCCAGCCAATCCCCTCTACTCTTCAAAAGACAAGGAAATGTTCTGTAAGTAGTTTCACTGGTTTCTTCCTATGGCAAGTCCGAAATGTTATTGTATTTACTGACCTCAGGAGTTCTGTAAGAGGTGACAGGGGAGTGTTACAGAAACCCATTTCAGGTATTTCTTTCTTTCTGTTATTTAGTTCAGGCACTTATTTCCAACTTGAGGTTGAAAATTTTCAAAATCCAGTTGTAGATTCTCTTTCCAAGAGTGGTATCGTGGTGTGAGTGCAAAGTTAGATAAACTGTCCACATCTTTAAGAAAAAAAAAAAATCCTCTTTAAAACAAAAATTGGAAGAAAAAGCTGCTTTAGGGATTTAATTAAATTAAAATAAACCCTGCAATGTCGGGTCTTAAATGGAAGCAGAAATTGTTCAAGCCATAAATTCATGACTATTACACTGTATGGCAGGAAAGTGACTACAGACTTAATATTTAATTTATATTATTCCTTGAGGGAACAGAAATCATTAGGCTGAGAAGCCGGTGTTGTTTCCAGGGAAAGTATTCCATGCAGGCTGATTCCTGCAGTATTGGTGCATGGGATGCAGATTATCCAGTGTGGGGTTTGTGAGGCTGTGAGTGCAGCAAAGCACTGCTTCGTGTTTCACCTGAAGTGTGTCGTGGCAAAAGGAATCACAGTTGGCTTCAAGTGTGATTTCCCTGCTGAAAGGTTTTGGATCCAGTAACCTGGTGAAGGTTGGTCCAGCTCCAGCCCTTCCCTGCTGTGACACTCTGAGTTACTGCTGAAGGTGCTGCCTGGGCAGTGGGAACTCAGCACTTGTGTGTGTGTGTGTTTATTCTCTATATTCTCACACAGAAAGAAAGAAAATAACTCCATATAGGCCCTTTGTGGTGCTGGTCTGAGTTTACCTGAGTTTGTGGTTCCTGCTCTGGGGGGTGAACCCTAATTTTATTTGGGGTGATAGGTGGCATTTGGAGGTGGCAGACATTCTGTGCAGAGGCCATACAGCTTTTCCAGGTGTGTTCTGGATCCAGTGCTCTCTGCCCTAGGACAGGATCTGACCCTTCTTCCCAAAACTCCACTGCAGCCCCGTGTTGCTCAGGCAACACAGGAGTTGTCATTTTCTGGTAATCACTGCACATCTCTGGCCTAGTTTGGTGATGGATTTATAATGAACATCTTTAACCTCAGCCTAGCCCAGCCATCTGCTCGGGGAAGAAAGCTGGCACTTCAAAGCCATTTTCTGCTTCAAGGTGTCTCCTTGTAGTCTTACAGAACAAACAGTGAGTCATCTCCTCCCACCAGGATGAAGCAGGATTGTAGCCCAGCTCAGTGTGAGGAAAGTCCCTCGTACTCCAGAGCTGTGTGTGACTGAGCACAGGCACCAAACTTGAGCATTGTTGCTCCCCAGCTGAACCGTGGAGGGATGACACACTGACCTCTCCAGGGATGTGCTGGCTATGGGAGTGTTTAACATCTGTGGAGTGTGAAGGGAGGGGTTTTCTTGCACATAGGATTGATGATCTGATGAAAACAAAATTAGAGATAATTGTTTTGTCTGGACTAGGCTGTTGGAGAAGTTTATCTGCCATGCTGGTTTAATTTCTTAGTTCTCCAAGTGTTACATCAAGTGACAGGAATTTGCTTGGGTTTGTTTGGGGTTTAGATTAGCTTTGATTTAATAGATATGTGTGGGAAAGGTTTTAGGATAAGGGGTTGGTACTGCCAGCTCATTTCAGCCCTGCTGCCTCACTGGGAGCAGTCCATCCTCAGCACTCAGCTGAGGTGCTGGGCTTTGGCACAGTGCTGCATATATTCTGTATTTTCACCAGATTACATGCACAGAAACTGGGACTTAGCTTGGTTTCTCTGTAAAACCCGTGGTCACACAGGAAATTGGTTCCAAAGCTCGGTTTCAACAGAAACAAATAGATTTCAATCTTACTTATTATTTTACCCCTTTGGATCTGTGAGAAGCTGATCTAAATCACACCGGGACTGAAGAGAACGTTCCCCACTGACCCCTCACAGGCTTTTATCAAGCAAAATGTCTTTGGATTCTTCCAAGGGCATGTGGTCTCTGTGTTTATTTAAAGTTTGCCATTCAGTGAGCTGCCTGTTGGGCCATCCTGAACTCCATCTGTTCATTTCTTAGATGCAGGAATTGATTTCCCTGTCAGCCGTTGCACTGTTCCTGCAGCCTCCACCACACACCCCTTGTGCAGTGAAACCCCTGTCCCACATCTATGGGCAACAGGGGAAGCCAGTGCTTATCCAACCTCCCCTTAGCAGTTCCTGAGGAAATTCTTGCCTGTTTTGATTTTTTGTTTCTTCAGAAAAATTTTGTCTCCAGAGACTGTACCAGGATTCAAGCCCTCTTGAACCATTGCTA